AAAAAAAAAAGAGGTTGACGGATGTTAAGTTTTAAGGAATAAGTACAACAAGGAAAAAAGTGAATTTTTTTGCTGTGTTGAAATGCCATTTGCAAACGGGTAGAAATTACTGTCTTTATTGGACCACAACACCGGTACTAGAGCAGCATAGAATTTGCTGACATTAAATTTGGTAAGTTTTCAAAGTAAAAAAAGGAAACTTCTTTTTTTTTCTTTTCTGCTTTTTTTTTTTACATTGGGATGATATTCTTACATTTCTTTGTGAAGGGAGGTGATCAGATCAATGACAATGGAAGCACAGAATTTCTAGCTTTAAAGCTTCAAAAGTTGAGGGAAAGAACTGACCCTGACGTCATCTATTCCCCGTTCTTCTCATTTCCTCCGTTTCCGCACAATCTATCGTACTGTTTCGTTGAATTGAAAGGCTGCAGATAGAATTGTTGTCTATTTTTGGCTTGATCAAAACAAAGTGAAGCAAGTGGCTAAAAAAAAAGAAACACTATAAGAGTCTTTTTGATCAAACGTTCTTCGAAATTGCTAACCTGATTAGATTACTCTAAAAGCGTTTGTGTTTGTCAGTTTAATGCACACACTCACTCACTTACTCGTTCACTCACTCACTCACTTACTCGCTCACTAACTAACTAACTAATTAAGTAACTAACTAACTAACTCACTAATTCACTAATTCACTAATTCACTCAGTTAGCTATTCATCCACCTATTTGTTCAGCTTTTCAAGAATAGCAGCAGCAGGAGCACAATAACGGTGACGGCATTTGCAATTGCATTTGCTAATATCTTGATCGTATTGCTTTTTTTTGCAAGAATAAAAAGAAAAAAGTGAGGGATGAGAAAAAAAATTTTGTTTATTGAAAAAAAAAACGAAAGAAGGAAAGGAAGTCAGTTTAACGACAAAGAGAAAACTAAAGTTGGAGATAAAAAGTGACTATATTAACTGTAAATCTACGGTTCGATAAAATAAGAATTAAATTTTTCAAATTCTCATTATCACCGAATTAGTTGTTTCTTCTTTGTGTCTTTACTTTGATAATTCAGATTTTTTTTTTGTTTTTCTCCTCTTTTCTTTTTTATAATTCAATTATGTTTTTTTTTTTTGGTGTGCAAAAAACTGCAAAAAAATAATAATCGTAACAGCAGCGAAGGCAGCAACATTTATGACCAGTGG